GTCCTCACCCAGTCCACGTCCACCGGCACCTCTGCGAAGTAAGCCGCGTCCAGGACCTGCAGCCTGCGGCTTTCTCAGCTGAGCCCCGTGGGTGGCTCCAGGGTCTATGTGTAGGGTACAGCTTTTTGTTTGGGTGTGGTTCAAAGGGAAGCCAAACGGATAACCGCAGCTCTTTTTCAGTTGTTCGTTTCTTCTTGCTTTTTTTTTTGGGGGGGGGCGGGGTTGAGGGTATGGGTTTGTCTTTAAATAGCATGGAACCCTTCAATCCAGTGGTTTCCTTTTGGTTGTTTCCCTTGCAAGCAACCCAAAACGGGTACCCTCGCAAAAAGAAGACACGCCCGCATGTGTTGACGGTACTTTCTTGAGCAACCCTTGAACATCTCTATTTTGTCTACCCATATTCTTAATGAAATTATGCTGTTGGCTCTGCCAAAGGAAGGATCTGGCACTGGATTTCATTGTAGTAAGTGGCTCTACCAAATATGGTTGATCCCTTCTTCCAACAAACCCACCCCCCCAAAACAAAACTCCCCTCAGCCGCGCCAAAAAACGCAAATATATACTAACTTTAAAATTAGCCAACACTAAACCAATACTAAACTCCTGAGACCACAGCTCTCAAAATGTGCTTGGTTGGCCCCCCTGCCCATAGTGTGTTGAAACAAGAAGGCAGGGATTTGACAACAGGATGTCCCTTTGAGAGTTCTTACTTAAAAGTTGCAATCTGAGCGCTTTCTCCTGCAAATCAAAGGGGATCCGCTTTCCAATGCAAGTCCAATACTAAACAGAACACAAAGAACTATAAGTACTATATCTAAGGCCAAAACCGGCGACCCCTAATAATAAAACTCCCTCCGAGCTTAAAAACAACATGGGGCGGGTTGATTAGCCGGAAGGCATGACCACAATGTTCATGGCCCAGGGTTTTGGGCGCTCTGTGCTTTGCGCGGGTGTCTCACTGGGCCCATTGGCTATGACATCCTCCGAACACAGCTGCCCTCTAGACTCTAAACGCTGGAAACTTGAGGGCCCTTCTTCATGTGTCTAGCCACCAGTTGTTCAAACGGCCATTTGGTGTGGGCAATGTCTGGTTTGAATAACCCAGTGCTTCCAGTTACCACCATAGGTAACCAGGGGTTTACCCATGATGTAAAACCTAGAGGTAGCCATACCTGCTTGCCTACAGCGGCTTGCCTGGAAGCAGGGGGTAAGCGTTGCCAGTTTTGCAACTGACGCCGTGGCAACCTAGAGGTAGCCATACCTGCTTGCCTACAGCGGCTTGCCTGGAAGCAGGGGGTAAGCGTTGCCAGTTTTGCAACTGACGCCGTGGCATTGACTCTCTTGCTGGATTCAAAAAGGAAAAAAGTACCAGCACCCATACTTGAAAAAAACACAATTGTTTTTTTGGGGGGGTTCTGGCCTACACCTTGCTGAATCAAAGAGTCAAATATCTGTGCTAGCGGTTGGAACTTCTTGTATGTCTAACAATCGACATTCAACAAGTGTTCGGTCAAACAAAAAAACGTTCAAGGTATGGTAGGATAACAACCCTACCCAAACATTAGAGCAAATATTCAAAAAAGCAAGCTTGGTGCAAATTAGAAGGCCTGGAAAGGGAGAATCAGATAAATTCCCTCCGGTTTCCGGGTATCGCACTCAACCACTAGGGTTGCCATTTTCCGCACCCATGGCTCCCGTGCCAACGACGTGGCCGAGCCGCCAATTGGCGAAGAGCCCATTGTCCACCACGGTCACGCGCACGTACCGCGCCTGATAGGTTCGGATCGGAAAGCCCCAAACCAAGTTGTGGCGGCGGCCCATATTTTGGTCACTTCCATGGAGCTCACCTGGGGAGCTGGGAGTAAAGACCAAAAGCAAGGCGGCGGTGTACTTGCAGGAGAACGATTCCTGATCGGTGTGTTCTTTTTGGGAAACATGGGAAACATGGAGGCTCAGGGAGCATCCCATTTATTCGTTCCACAACCATCCGATGAGCGGCTGGACACTTCGAAGCCGGTACCTCTTTTGGGCGGCTGGCCAGTGGCGACAGTGGAAGCCAGAGCCAAAAGGTCCCATTTGGCAAGTGTAAATTCACCTTGAGCCAAAAAGGCGGGGTCGCCCAAGAGGAATTGAGACAGCCCTGAACTGCTGAAAAAAGAGAAGCGTCGTGAGCTATGATCATCAAAACACACACACACACACACATCTGTATTACGTAAGGATTCCATCTCAACCAGCCTGAAATTATCCTTACTTAACCAGCATGTTGACACATGCCAGTGCATCCCAGCTATAGGCCAGCCATTGTCCTTGGCTAAATGGGGGCTCTTTTGCTTGCCTCATGGACAGGTGTTTCTCACCACTATTCGAGCCTCCTTTTGGCTGCCCTTCGAGCGCAAGAAGCCCAAACCCCTTAAGCCAACTATCCCTAACGTAATGGCTGTCAACCAAAACAAACAACCAACCAAACAACCAAACAAACAAACAACCAAACAAAAAGCAAGCAACAAAAAACAAGCAACGAAAGCACAAACAAACTACAAAAAACACCAAACCACGAAAAACGAACAAACAACATAAACAACAAAAAAACAAGACAAAAAACAAACACCATCAAACACCTTGCCCACAAGGCCCCGTGAGGCCCCAGTGTGCGCTGCGCCTCCGCGAGGTCGCAGAGCTCGTGCAGCGTGCGCAGCAGCGCCGCCGGGGCCTTCCGCGCCTCCGACACCGCGAAGAGCTCCGGAGCCGTCCTCGCGCGCGGTGGGCGCTCGCGCGCTCGGGTGCCGGGCGCTCGGGCGGGGGCTCGGGGGGCCTCTGTGCTGGGGGGAATGTAAAGGGGGGGCTAAAGGAGCAGAATCTGTAGAGTTTGGCTCTTGGCAACCAAAAACTCTTAGAATGCAGTAGAGGAAAAGAACCTTTGATCTGGTCATGGGCGGGAATTATGACTCATTGTGTTGACCGATGGGGGGTGAATTCAGCAAGAGGCAAAGAATATCGCTTTCAGTCGCGTTTTTTGTTGTTGAGGGGTACAAAGGTTCAAACACGCTTTCTTTCTTGGGGGTTTGAAACCTCCCTTGGATGCCCGCCTCTTTTGGAGGGCGGAAGGGAGATCACCCCTAGCTTTCAGGGTTCCCTTATTTGAGGTTGTCTCAGAATGAGGGCACCCCCAAAGTGGTTCGATTTTCGAGCCTCTTGGTTTCCCTTTGAAGCCCCAAAAAGGGTGCTCTTACAAATCGAAAAAGACCCAGCAGCATGCGGGCAAGGCTCGCCACACCGGAACCCCAATTAGTGTGGTCCCGCAAGAGGCACAACACCTCCTCCGCGCACTCCAGGAAGAACCTGCGCTCTGGATGCTCATTTTAGCAGACACCCCCCCCCTCAATCGAGGATTGGCTTAGGGTGGTTGAGGTTCGGCTGAAGGTGGATATAGGTGGATGGCGAAAGTCTCGTGGGAGCGTTGGTTTGTGCACAGCATAGGCCCGGCAGAACCTAGTGAACAAGTGCCACAGTTCATGAGTGCGCAACACAAGTTGTTGTAGGGCGGCTGGAAAAGGCAAGAGATTTGAGCATGCGTGTTGTTGAGGTTGGCCATCAGGTTGAATCTTGAACCGTTTGAACCCGCAACTGTTCGGGAAACATATTGTTATCCCACTGACCTCCACAAAATAACACTTTTGTGGGCACGGCAGCGGCGACGAAGCAATGCCCAGTGCGACACATACCAAGGTTTCAGCACAGCATTTTCTCGCTGTGTGGGTATTTGTCTTTTGGTGCGGGTACCAATCGAATCCAAAAGGAAACCCACCCACCCGGAGCCCTAAACAAACTCAAAACCGACCCAAAGCCACAAGCCCTAAGCTGGCCCGAAGTTCACCAGCCCTGAACCGCCCTACACCACCCTAAACTTTTGGCTGGAATTAGAACCCCAGCAAAAAAAATGCCTGCTTAGTGGAAAACAAAGGGAACCCCAAAAAAGAAAAAATAATAATAAGGGAAACCAATTTGGGGGAAGAACCCCGGTGGCAGCTTGGCCTGAGCTTGTGGCGCTGCATGGTCTGAATGGCGCGGCCCAGGCTGCGGTAGGCCCAGGCCGGCATGCGGCTGTGGAAGACCCCCAGAGACAGCTCCTGGCCGATGTCAGGCGAAAACACCCATGAGTTTGGGCGTTCCTTCAATCTCCTTGAATTTGTGCAGCTCCTGGGTGATGCCTTTGGGGCCGTGAATCAAAGGGCCACCTGATCTCCCAGCCCTCGAGGCAAAATATGAAGCAACCAAAGTGAAAAGCATCATCTCGCCATTCCAAGAGAACTATGGTGTACCATTGATATTTGGAATGTCCGACTCTAGGGGAAGGATCGCCATAATTGGATGCAAGACTTAGACCCCCTTCACAAAGCTCAATGTTGGTGGTCAAACAGGAACACAAAAAGGATACCCAAGCAAGCACTAGGGCGAAAAAACTATTTGGCCTGACAGTGTTGCATGGGGTTCCCCTGACATCAAAAGTGTTCGCAGGCTCGACGGGTTTGAAGGGGCTCTGTTGGGTTTGCTTTGGGCTTCGAGCGGGCGGGCGTTGCTGGTTGCGCCAAGGTGGGTCCTTGTGGGCACCGGGGGGGTGTCCAAAGCAAAGTCAGGGAATCATGCCACCAACTTTTGCCAAGCTATAGGTTTTGAAGGTCAGGGGTTGAGGTGTTGAAGGCGAAGATGTGCAGGGATTCAAGGAGCGGCATGTTCGAAGGCGTGGGATCATGTTGTAACTTTGAAGCCTCTTCTCCATGAGCTCAACTCGAAAATGCAAACAAACAACGCGGCGAGCTGACGCAATCAAGAACCCAAGAAGCAAAATGAGAGGGCCCACCCCATTTCAAATGCAGGTCCCAAAGGGCCGTGTCCGCCGCTTGCCTTCAAATCGTTCAGCAGCTCGGAGACCTTGTGCTCGTCGGTGAGCCCCAGGGAGGCTTGAGGCGACGCCGATTGCCGGGCAAGGCCTCCGCGCA